AGAAAAGGAGGACTTGTGGCACCTTAGAGACTAACCAATTTATTTGAGCATGAGCTTTCCTGAGCTACAGCTCACTTCATGGGATGCACACTGTAGAAAATAAAGACGATGTTTTTATACACACAAACCATGAAAAAATGGGTGTTTATCACTACAAAAGGTTCTCTCTCTCCGCACCCCACTCTCCTGCTGGTAATAACAAAAAAACAACAACCCAAACCCTTGGGCGGAACAAGCAAGGACGTGATTGGCTCCAGCTGGATTGATTGAAGCCCGGGTGTTTTGGCAATCTCGCAGAGCCCTGTCCGCTGCCCTCCCGTCACGCGCCCTCGCCTCCGCTCTGCGCTCAGACAAGGCGAGGTCTTGGGCACTGGCGCTGGGGGGAAACAGAGAGGTGAAGAGGGTCCTACCTGGACGCTGGACATGTGGGGCGCTATTCCAACCGGGTTGACCGTTATCGTTCATTCCCTCGCGCTCTCCATGATCCCCTCCCACCAAGGCTGTCGGTGAAGGCGAATTGGGAAATCGTATGTCTGGCTGCCTCAATTACCAAAGGCGGCGCAACTGACTCGAGAGCATCTGCTCTTTGAGCCAAGGCAAACACTGCTGCAGCACGATTAGCTCCCCAGCTCGGTGAAATCCTTGTCAGTTTGGAGGGTAGAACGCACGATTTCCTTTGAACTTCGTGTTTAGCAGAAGCACACTCACTGAAGGACATCTTAAAGTCTTAGGAAGACCGGGGAAGAGAGAGAGGGACTTAGCCACGGCCACAACACACAAGAGGAAATACGGTGACCACGACAATAATTGCAGGCACAAGGGTCCCAGAATGGTCTTTGCAATGAGCATGGGGCAATGGCTTCTGTTTTATTTAAACCACCATGCAAACTTTCCCAGAAGCCTCGGAGCCTTTATTTATTGATGAGAAATTCAAAATATAGCGTGTTTCCAATATGAATATGCAAGGCAGGAGGTCAACAAATTTTGTACCGTCTGTACCAGCTGGTGATCCGTATAGTATCAATATGTGAAAGCATCCAATCACCATTCTCTGCAGAGAAAATCAGGAAAGCTAATCAACTGAAAATCCACTTTAATGTAATAAAGCTACTCTGAAATTATAACACACTTTCATGTTCGGTATGTACTGAGAAAGTAACGCGTTATACCATTTAGCCACGTTAATCCCTTGATACAGGCTCACAAACGCCTATAATTGGAAATCTCATGTAAACGCCGTCTGTTGATGCAATTCAGATGTGTTTCTATGTAAACAGAGACTTGGGCATTATAATAGAAGCAGTTCTTCAATCGGGAATGAACTTGTGCGACTGCGGCATTGCTTATATTTACTCGTTTATGACTTCCCTTAGGCGTTAATTTGTTAGCCAGGTACTAAGATCAGTACATTTGACAGCGCACACTGTGATTACCCTATCCAGAGTGCGAGTACAATTTGTAACGTGGGAGTTTGGTGTGGGATCGCTTATAAGGCACTTCCCACGCAAACGGTCACTTTTACATCGCTTACATCAAATTGATGAAGTCCCGGTTATTGAGAGTACCGGTAGGACAGATGCTCTGGTGGGAACGAATGTTACACACGTCTCTCATGCCACCCCTCCCTAATGAAGATAAATAGCCGGGACTTGGGGTTTGTTTGTGTTTGTCCTGTGTTTCGGTTTCCCCACGGTGGAATAAATGGAGCTGAGTGTAGAAAAGGAAACGATAAGAAATGCAGGGTGGGGGAGCTGATGTTAAAAGCACCTACCGTCGGCAGTGCAGACAGTGCCACTGGTTTCATGCCTTTACCCACGCGTGCAGGGTTCGCTTCTGGGGTAGAATGCTGTTGCCCCCGAACGCGCTGCCCTGTGTTTTGCTCACTGGCTTGCAATAAGGAAACCAGAGTCACGAACTGACCCAGATAAATCAGAAACCCTTGTAACAGTGCAGGGACCGGCCCCTCTGTTACGGGTTCCCCTCTCGTCGATGGTTGGAAACGACTGGCGTTCCCGTGTGTCTCGGGACTAACGGGGGTGAGACCGAGGCCAGCTATGAACCCTCCTCGGGACCAGGTCCGAGCCAGGCGCGCTAGCGAGCCGGACAGTGAGCTACAGCACGTGCGCCTCCCGGGGCATTGGCCACCCCGAGCCCCGCATGCCTCTGCCTGGCACCCTCGGGGCGGTGTTTTGACTGATCACTGTGCTTGGGGAGCACAGGATTCAGCGCCCCTCGCCTCTGATTTTGGGGCTGTTTTTCAATCTCTCCTGAATGAACACTGCCCAGGGGCAGGTATCATGTTTTCCTACCCGAGCTGCCCCTTTGTGGGGACACTAGTTGCGCCAGATTACCGGGGGGGGGGTCGTTATCTGGCCCATTAATTGACCACTGGTGATCGAGGATTATTAATTAGCATTGAGCTGTGCCTCAGGGGAGGGGCGGAGCCGTGTCCCTGGCACACAGTGCGGGGCACTGCCCTGCCACAGATCGACCCCAGGCGCGGCAGGCGGAGCGGCGAGAGAAACCCCCCGCTCCGCAGGGCTGTTTGCCCCGCGTTGCTGTCGATGTTTTAAATTCTCTTTCCACTCTGCTTGGGTACATTTGATATCAACACGGCTCTGTGCGGTTCAAAAGAGCTGCTGACAAGCAGACGGGATATCTCAGCGTCGAACCCTCAGGCGGGAAACAGCTTCTGTGCGCTTAGAAAACGAGGTTTGTCTCTTCCAAGGAGCTGCCGTAGCAAAAGTGCGCTCTGCTGGGCACCGGGTGCCCCCCTCCCAATAAATCGGCTGCCTGCACTAATGCCCTGAGCAGACACCGTCTCTTCGAGTCGACTCCCTCCCCCGCTGCACACCTGGGTTTTGCCACCAAGACTGAAAAAACAGAACCGATGATCTCCCCTCCCAAAGGAAACTGGACCATAGGAAGTGCTACAGTGCATCAGACCAGCGGTCCAGCCAGTCCAGTGTCCTGGCTCTGGCAGTGGCCAAGATCAGATGCTCCAGAGCGGACGGTACCAGAAACCCCACTAGGCAGTCATGGGAAGACTTGTCCATGAATCAAAGTTTCTTCCTCCCTCCTCCGGAGTCAGAGGTTTACTCATGCTCTGAAGGGTAGAGTTCATATCCCTTCCAAACCTCTCCAGTGTGTTCTGTTTTGGCTTTGTTTGCTTTTAAATCCCTGGGGGTTTTGTGATCCAGATGCATTTCTAAATAGGCTTTTGCTGAATGCAAATTAGCCTTTACATTTATGAAAAGGCTTCCACTGGATTTCACTTGGATTAGTATTGGCCTGTTTAATTTTTCATTTGTTAAAAATAAATCCCTTGAGAGAAAGTCAACGCATTTCTTCGGGGGGGGGGGGAAGAGAATCTCATACAGCCCCAGACCAAGGGGACGCTTTCTGAGAGGATTCTGGGTTGAGTGACGTGCGAGCCTTTGTTTGGCTGCTGTTTCCATTCTTTTTAATGTAAGATACCCAAGATGTCAGATTCTGTGACAGTTTGATTAGAAAGGCTAAAATGGAAAATAGGTGTCACCTAAAGGGCACGTCCCCAGTGATTAGGCTTCATGTAATTCATCTCCAAATTGAGGGAAGAGCTACTAATTCACCTTTTGGAAACCGATTTCTGTCTGCCTCAGTCTTTTCAGATGAAAAAGATGAATTATGGCTACGGATGCTAGCTCCCTCTTCATGACTTGGCTATTTCTTTAACGTTTATATTGTTTCAACCCTATCTGTTTTATCTGGGTTCTGTTGGAAACTAGTTAATGTGATTAATGAGAGGCCAGGAAGAAGTGACACACATTTACGGGGCGAATGTTAGTCTAAACTTTAAATAAAGAAAAGTTTGGGGGTATTGAGGAGTATCCAGCCCGTCCCGTTAAAAGCGATCTCGAACGCAAAAAGATAAAATTCTTAGGGCAAAAATACATACATAAAAGGAGCCTGCATATTGGAATGAGGTGATCCGCTGTTGATTGCGGATGATTTGAGGTGAGTAGGATGGATGGATGGACCTGCTTCCTTCTGCAAAGAAGGAAAAAACTGTTCTGAAAGGCTGAGCCGTTCGATTTCATTTGGCTTCATTCTCTGAATTCCCAGGTCGCCCTGACACGGAATCTTTCCTAACGTGCACTTGTTTTTAGGTAACATAACAGCAAACATACACTGCTAAGGCCGTAATAAGCCAGTTGCTGCCTTGATTCTACCCTCCACTCACATTTCTGGGGTTCGACTTTGCAAAACGTCAACAGATTCGTGTTGAACCCTCATGGAATAAACTTCTGGGTTTCCTTACTTCAGAAAAGAAAGCAAACTGCCCTAGCTGGTGGGTTTTAGCCCCTGGACAAAAATAAAAAATAAATGTGGTTGCTCAAATTTATCAACCAGTCCCCATGACCAGCTTTTCTTTTGTGTCTGTGTTTGTTTTCTCAAGACCTAAGCAATTTTTAATATACTATATCCTTCCCGCTTAATCCCCCTCGTTTATTGTATAATTACAGTTTCAAAATGATTATGTAATTAAAATCATGTTTCACTGCTGCATACTTCAAAAGGAAGGCAACCTTCCCCAGCATTATTTGCTGGTGATGTAATAATTTCCCTGTGATATTTAAAATAAACACATTAGTTCAAGAATTCTAAACATGTCTGAAAGTATATAGTGGAATTGATTGGCATAAGGCGAGGTTGTAAAGCAACGGTGAAACCTATCACTAGTTTAATATATTTCTATGCTCCCATGCAGTGTAAATTATAGGATAATGGGGTGCAGGCGATGGTAAGCTCTGTTTATATAATCCATTTCTTCACACAAGTTCCCATTGCTTTTCCTTCCCTTTGCTGTATGTGGTGGTTCTCTGATCCTACTGACCTCAGCCATGTGTTTTCACTTTTTCTTCTGATCTCAATTCCATGACCAGCGGGGAATAAAATACAAATTGAATAGTAACCATTCACAGGCCACTCTTTTCAAACTGTTGTTAAGCCCTCTTTGTCTTGTCTAGCAATTGATAGATAAATGTGTTGTATTTTACCCAACTCTCTCTCTCTCTTTTTCTTGTAAAGCTTTGTTGCCTCACTGGCTTAGCCCATCTTTTAAAAGAAAATAATTTCATCAGGGCTTGTCACCAAAATGGACCGTTCCCTTCCTTTGCAGCTCAACGGGGTGATGGCTAAGCAGTGGAATTTAAAAAAGAATGAGAAGAAAAAAGGAACAGCCCCCACATTTGGTCGGTATATTCCCAGCATGAGCGAAGGTTAATTTTAAATGGGACTTGTTTCCTCTACGTGGTAAATAAGGTGCTCCCCGGGTTGCATGCAGATACTTTCTGAAAAGAGGAACGTTAAGTGCTTGAAAAAGAAAAAAAAACTTTTCCCTTGCCCTTCTTTCATTACAAACCTGCTTTCTGCAGCGTCGGGAGAGGCCGGGGCTGTTTATTCAGCTTTTTTTGAAAACGAATAGCAACTAAGAGAAGTTTAAACAATCTCCTGTTATTTTGGGGCTTGTTTTTCCAGTGGTCTCCTCCCCGACTTCTTCCTGGGGTTATAATGCAAAAGAAAATAATTTTGGAAACCCATTATTCCACAGGAAAACATTTAACCAATCCCATGCTCTCTGTTTGATCAAAGAAACAATTGCACGTGAAAGTTTCTTTTGTCCTGATGTAAACTGCAGAATAATAATGATTATAATTATTACCAAATTGTCAGCGCATTGAAGCCTGTTTCCAGTAATATTGAATAACAAAAACTTTGCTCTGTTAATCATGTCACTTTAACAGACTACCTTGATCCAGCTAGATAAAAGTCTGATTTCCTATTATTAGCTAGTTTTAAAAGAGGTGATTTAAATGAGATACTTTAGTTAAATCTCTATTTCCAAGAACTCTTGCAAATGAGCAAACATTGCAGCAGAGCATCAGTCTCTAACCAAAATAAGCCAGATTCTTGTGCAAAAGATAAATATTTTGTAACCACATTTCTAAAACTGAAATAGGTAAATCAGTCAGACACTGAAATTAATAGTGTAATGAGTTTTGGAAAGGAAACTAAACAAGAGTAACACTTTTTTTTTTTTTTTTTAGGCCACATGTAATCTGCCTTTGGAATCTGGAACAGAAGTCGCATCGATATGGTTTCGAAATATGTGAAAACTAATATGAAATTCCTTGTTGATGGTGAATGTTGGAAGTAAAGCCCAGTACCTGTAAAATGAGCCCCTGTCTATCACATGCTTCATATTAAACTTTCATGCAGTTTTCCTTCGCTGTTTTTTTCCTGCTAAAGGGTTCTTATAAACTTTCCTTCGTTTATTTAGCCTGGTTTTCATTGCTGCAGTTTTGCATGGTTTGCCTTTGTTTAGTTTATTAACCCACAGGGTTACTTTAACTAAATATTTGGGCTGAATACTTTGGAGTTGGATTTCAACATTTTCTAACAAAATTACTGAGTTTTTTGAAGCCACACAGAGAACTCTGTGTTGACTTGATTAGTCAATTTAACAGACTATGGGGAAAATAAAAATAAGAAACATACCTGGTGTATCCCCTGTAATGAGAAATTGGACTGAAAGCATCTCTTATTTAGTATTTTAGATAACATCAAGGCTGAGTTAATTTTCAATAACATTTTAATAGAAATGTCAAACTTGTAACACCTCTGCCTTTGCCTCTACTGGGTTGGGAAAGAGGTAGTGTCCCATTCACGTGCTCAAGGTGCTGTTTTCCCAGGCCCTAAAATAATATACGCTTCCCTTAAGACAATATAAAGGAATCCGTGATAGAGAAGGTTAGTGCAAGTGCTGTCTGTTTGGTGTGTGTCAGCTCAGATGGAGGCATGTGCCCCCCCCCACACACACACAAAAGGTTCTTATTACACACACCCTTTCACATCAGGCTGGCCTTTGAAAGCATTCTTGTTTCAGCTGTTTTTCTGAATGGATAAGTATTGCACAGCAATAATGTTATTGCGTAATAAGTCACCCAGTGGAACCCATCTCCCTAAAGATGTGTCAGTTACACATACACACATGTTTGGGGCTGTGTCTTGGTAGGGCTGTGTAGGGCTCTGCTGTACAGCTAGCAACCTAGCTTGGCTCAGATCAGCTCCAGGCCTGAGCCTGAAACCTGGGTGGTCGTCTCTTCATCTTGTGAAGAGCTGGGTGAGCTTCACGCTGACAATCCCATCTGGGAACTCACAAAAGGTTCGGGGGCAGGGGGGAGCTCATCAGGGGGCGAGTCTGGGAGGAGGGAGAGCAAGGGGCACATTGAGGAGCAATGGGGCAGATTCCAGAGGGCCAATGGGGCAGCAAGTCAAGCTCAGGGGCCACTGAGGAGAGGGGGGCAAATGAGGGCAGAGGGGGCAGATCCAGAAGGCTATGGGGCAGTTGCCCGGACACAGAATGGAGGCAAAGGCAACAGGTCAGGCAAGAGCAAGTGAGCAGGCTCAGGGGGCAAAATGTGGTAGTGAGGACAGAAGGGTAGAATAAGGGGATGAGGGAGTATGGAGATTCTCACTCATGGCATCATAGTCCCAAGCATGGCCAGTGCCCATACTCTGAGTGTAACCTACCCCCTCAACCACTCAGGCACATTTCCATGAGAAATGCCCCTTATGCTTTTCCTAACTGCTGAAATATAGTGTCAGAGTAGTAACCAGGAGAGTCCGTTCCAAAGTGCTGCTGTTTTAAATAAACAAGAATCTCCCCATAGTGACTCCTAGTTGTTAGGGATGAAAATCATTCAGCTCTGTGTAGAGTGCCAGCAATAGGCCTGGGAGTTAAAGGGTGCCTAGTGCTGGACCTCTATGCAGGGGTGCACTTCATCCTACGGTGCCTCAGAAGCTACGTTTCCTTGACTATTGTATTTTTGTTTTCAAAAGGGGATGGTTACCACCTTCATTTCCAAAGGTCCCCCTTCCCAGCTGTGATGCTCAGCAAATTCTGACTATTCTGCATGTAAAGTCAAGAGAGAGCTTAAAAGGACCAGTGCCAGCAAAGGACAGGGTGTATTTTATTGCTAACATGCCATGAAAGGACTGTATTTCACAAATGTGAGCTCACACTCACCACTACAAAAGACGCTGTTTTTAGAAATGTAAAACAAACAAAAAATCACTAATTATTGTTGATAAATAAAAGATTATTTAAAAAACTCACCACAAGCAGATCTTTGATCACCTGTAAGAACAAGAGACTTCGTTATATCTTCTAGAGACATGCTATTGCCAATCTGTTTTCCATGGAAAGCACTCAGATTCTTTGGTGATGGGTAGTAATACAAAACCATAAGGTAAGATACGTTTATACATGTGTCCATAAAAAAGGAAGTGTCTGTCCCTGGTGTGGTGTATTGAAAACTGTGTTAAAATTGAAGGCTGTTACTTTCAATTTTAGAGTTTTTATTTTCTGGTCCTGCTTGCAGGCTAGAGTTCTGTAGGGAAGCAAGTTATCTGGGCCTCGTGACAATTAGCAGACTTCCAGCAGAAAGTAAGGTGGAGTGAGTTCTGCCTTGCTGTTTTAGGGAGCAGCCTGCTTTGTCTCAGTCTGGTTTGGGGTTCTTTTGAGTTATTGTTTTGAATTGTAAGGAAAAAAAAAGTATTACACTGCAACCTTCCAGCATAAGTACTTATGTTTTTATCTAACTTCTCTGGGTGCATGCCAAGAAACATAACACCTTGCTCTAGGCAATTTTTGACAATTTCTTAAATCTCCAACTATAAAATATAGCACTCCTGTAATCCCCCTTCAACTATCAATCGTCTCATCAACAACAACCAACAATAACCACCCGCAAAAACATGTCATTTCAGTCAACAAGATTACATAGTATGAACATGAAATAGTCAGCTGTATGTGGACGGGCCACTCACCTCTCATCTTGAAACCAAACACTGAACTGCTTCACAATTGCCTTAAAAATAAAATGAAAGTATAAAAATATCTAAAGTTTCTTTGTTATTACTAATAATAACAAGTTAATATATTTATTCTTACACCAAAAGTAAATATGCATGACCTATTGTACATTTATAATACTTTAAATTTTTATTTGATTTTTATAGCATTTGTACCTTCTATCCAAGGGCCTCAGTGCACGTTACAGACATTTAAGAATAAAATGACACAAAATCCTCTATGAAATCGATAAGTAGTATTAACCCTATCTTACATTATTTATTTACATTTATGGGGAAACTGATGAACAGAGAGGTTAAAGGGCTTGCTCATCATCACACAGCGAGACCATAGCAGGCTGAGAATAGAATCCTAACTCTCAACCCTATATTTTATCCACTGTGTCATGTTTTCTGGGCGTAAACAATTTTTTGCAAAATATATGACTCATTAAATATAAAAAAGCCATCGTAGGAAAACTGGGTAAAAATCACATTCAGTTTTAGAGAGACAAGGTGGGATAGGTAATATCTTTTATTGGACCAATTTCTAGTTGTGAAAGAGGCAAAGTTTCAAGCTACTCAGAGCTCTTCTTCAGGACATTCATTCAGGTCAGTCTCAGACATTTAGGATAACTGGAGCCCAGCTAATGGTACGGAAACAAGATAAAAGAAAACTGAAGAAGGTTAATCGATTATTGCTATATTTAGTGTTGCTATTATTTCTCAGTCTCAGCAGTGATCTTGCAGTACTATTGTGCCAAAAATTAGAATAAATATACTAAGACCAGATTTATGTTAGAGCTCATTCACAATGTCCAGATCTCCTCTACTTCATTAGTAATTCGGTGACAGAAATTATTTCCTTGCACAAATAAAGCTATATTCAAATGTATCCTTTTCTTCTTAAGCCAAATAACAATAAAAACAATGATGTCTCACTTCAAAGAACAGTGAAGTGCAAAAGAAGCCTACACCCATTTAACAATCATTTAGTGTAGCAGGTGAAGATAGCAAACATGGATGAAGACAAAGAAACATCAGGGTGCTATGGAAGGGGGAAGAGTCAGACATTGGGAAGAGTAGGAGACAAGAGATGAAGCAGGGAGAGGAGACCTGATGAGGGTGTAGCAGAAGTGGAGACATGAACACATAAGAATGGCCAGACTGGGTCAAACTAATTGTCCATCTAGCCCAGTTTTCTGTCTTCTAACAGTGGCCAGTGCCAGATGCTTCAAAGGGGAACAAATGGAACAGGGCAATTATAATCAAGATAGATCCTACATAACAGCAGAGACCAAAAATAATGTGCTTTGTTACTGTATATTGCCACAGACAAAAGAAACAAAATCATGCATTTAAGACTATAATTCTGTCTTGACATACAGGCAACATCAAAACCTTCAGGCTTTGCTCTCTATGTTTATGATGACCCCACAATACTATTAGTTGAATGCCTTACTTCCCATTTTAAGGGACCTCAAAGATACTTAGGACTCAGTTCTAACACTGCTCAACATATTAATATGAATCTGCAATGGAACAGCAACAGAACTGGTAATTCTTGTTATCCATGTTTGAACTTCCATTAACATGTATAGAACAAGTGTGAAACAAGAAAAGAACATGCCATACTTCTTATGCATGTATGCAGGGCTGAAGATATGTACCCATTATATTATTTGTTAATTTTTTTAATGCTGAAAAGGGTGTCCCTTCACAATTCTTGGTGTCCTATCCATTATTTTAAAGAACAATCCTTATAAGAATAATTTTCCAATAACAAAAGAAAACCACAGTGATGCTCTGTACCTCAGGGGAACACCCAGCATCCCCATGTTCATCCTTGTAAAATGATTGTGTGGTGTCCAATGCAAAGTTTGTCATGGGTGTCTTTGGAAGGCTCATGATGTACTGAGCACTGTTGTTATAGTGATGCAATAGTGATGTTATGGGTTATAATTTCATGTACATAGTTATGAGGCTGAAAATGTATACTCATGGTTTAAAGCAAGCCCAGACAAAAACTCTCCAGAAGCAGAGGAGCAGTTCACACCTCATCAGGGCATGAATGGGACAAACTCAGTCCAGCCTCCCAGGAACAAAGGATGCTGGCCTAGGCATCAACAAAAGAATCTGTTAGACTCTTGAGTGAGTCATCCCCTTAGAATCATAGAATCATAGAATATAAGGGTTGGAAGGGACCCCAGAAGGTCATCTAGTCCAACCCCCTGCTCAAAGCAGGACCAATTCCCAGTTAAATCATCCCAGCCAGGGCTTTGTCAAGCCGGACCTTAAAAACCTCTAAGGAAGGAGATTCTACCACCTCCCTAGGTAACGCATTCCAGTGTTTCACCACCCTCAT